TTGAAATAAAATATTGTCAATCCTTGATTTGGTTTCATTAACCGACTAATTACATCAAACCGCCCTAGTTAATTTCAATCTGGTTCCCATTGGTATAACCCTGGTTACCCTGGCCCTAAAATCCCCCGATAAGGAGTCCAAATATTTTAAATGTGGTCGGGTGCCCAGCCCCCACACGGCAATGAGGATGGAACTTTTTCCAGTCGGGCTAACAACGTCAAAAACAACGAAGAAACAACTGCAGACGGAAACAAACGAAAAATCAGGCGCTTAAACAACACCAGGGTTCTTGCATGGGCACATTTGTTTTAATTTGCACGCTATAAAATTAGTTGAAGTGCCGTAGTAGCTACGACAATTACCTCGTTATTATTTCAGTGTTGTATTTTCCTTGTAAAATCAGCCATGACACAATAATACTGGCGTCCTCATAGAACCACCACACAACAATCATCGACACTACAACTCCAGCGTTACCATTGCATTTCATGATTACAGGCACTGTCATTGCATCACAGGCGTTGCCATTACATCACAGTCGTTACCATTGCATTACACGCATTGCCATTGCATGATAGTCGTTACCATTGCCTTACAGGCACTGTCGCGTTTATAAAATAAATATTAACGCGAAGGAACAGGAAACAGAAACTTCTCGCCAACCTCGAGGATTTTTCCGCGAGTTGGAAACAGAACCGACGCCGCCCTTCATTCAAACTGAACGTGCTCTGCGGCTCGAGAACGCTGCAGCTTTTTGTGCTCTTAGTTCGCGATTAAAATTTGTTATTAGCATAAACAATCATTTAAATTGTGCCTAACTATTGTATTTGACATCCAGTAGGAGCGAGAACATTTATTTGTGAGATTGGCTGAACTGTGTTGTGTCGAATCGAAAAGCTTGTGGGAGACTGTGGCAGCCATTTGCAAAGGCGATTCCCAGCTTTCTGAGCCTGGTAGAATTCTAGTGTTAAAGTAGTGCCTGATTGTTCTGTACTATGAGATTATCATTTACTAATTAATTATCAGTTAATTAGCTAACAATTTATGCCTCATTCGTCATACTAGCCTGACATGTTCTTCTCTTAGTTGAGTTGGAGCCTGCTTGATCAGACCATCAATTAGTTATGAGTGCCTGAGGTAGATTTGTGCAGCTGTTATTAATAATTTCAAAATGGTTTATTTAACCGATTTGCGTTTAATTAACTCGTCATTTAATTTAGCCACGTTTAATGACCTTGCCATTTCACTTAGCTTTGACATACTGTTGAAATTAGAGAAGTTGAATCTCTT